TAAAAAACCATATTCATTTCATCATTGCTTAATACTTGAAAAATATAATATTCTAAACTTTGAAAATTTTAGAACATTTAAAATGGCTTGTTCAGTTTATAAGATTTTGCATGGACTCTCTCCACCATCCTTGAATGAATTCATTAAGTTCATATCCAGTACAAGTGGTAGAGTGACCAGAGCCACCACCAGAAGTGACTGTGTGGTTCCTTATAGACGCACAGCGTTTAGTCAACAGGTGCTGTCAGTGAAAGGGACCACGGTATGGAACAGCATCCCAACAGAAATTCGAGACTGTACTACATTCATAGTATTTAAAACTAAACTTAAAGGTTGGCTGAAGGGGAATCAGACATGTAACCACTGACCAGTATCTTTGTTTTATGTCTCCAGTTTAATTGTGTGGATGATTTGTGTGATGATCTTTTGTCTTTTAAATGTCGTATATTAGTCTTTGTATTTTCTTGATCTGCCAGGGACTACAGATGGAAAGTAGCCATTGGCTAATTCTGGCATATTTACATTTACATGTTCATTAATATGCATTGTCCCTTTAAATAAATAAATAAAAAAAAAAAAAAAAAAAATAGCAGGTTGGAGTATTCTGGCGACATCTAGTGGATTAAAATTAAATTACAAGAGTTGACAACCACTGCTGCAGAAATAATTTTGTCTTTTAGGTTCAGGTGTGTAGCGCTGCAATTATTTTAGTGTGTAAACAAGGGTGGAATAAGACTTTCTGGTGTGTAAACTATTGCTTTAAGCAGCAATGACAACTGTTTCTTTTTGTGTGACAAGTGAGCTGTCAATCGCAGCCCAGACCACGCCCAACTCTAAGTCCCCCTTCTTGTCCCTTGGTCCTCCAGGCAACGCCCTTTTAAGAGAAAATTTTCTAATGCTCATGTGGGCGGAGTAAGGCTGGGCACAGGTGTTTAGTCGCTCTTTAATATATTTGGGACAATATAAATCCATATACATCAATACATTTGAGATAGTGTTTAGTTGTATTTTGGGGATTACATGTTGATAAAACATTTTAAATTACATGAATAATTGGGGTAATTATGTCTTGTATGGAGTTTATTAGGGACATAAGTAAGTATTTCAATACTTCTCCACAATTGTAACAGGGATATTTACAGTTTTGAGTCATATAAAACATGTCTCAAACAGGAGGGATAGAATTATGGGAGTAAATATTACGTGTACATACATGGCTAAAATTATACTATACAAAACATTTTTGGTTTGTTTTTTGTTTTTGTTTTTTTGTAACCAATGTGTAATTTCATACAGTATGTATTGACACAACTTAGATTCCAATACTGAACTGTATTTATGTTGGTTTAATTGACAATTATCAATGTCAACAGTTTACCATACAAGGTTGTATGTTTGATTCATTAAATTGATAACAGGAAGGAATGACAGTAGAATTATAGAAATTATTATTGTTATAGAAATATTTTAGTAAAGGAACCTGAATTAACACCAAATAGTTATGAGTGTAAGTTATTAACTAATAGTCAACTCTGGATTCAGATACAGGCCATAATGCTCTATTGGCAGCAGGTCAGTGATAGATGGAGATGTGCTGCATCATGTCTTTGACCTGGGTCATAGAACAATATGTTCAGTTCAAAAGCAGATTGTTACATATATCAGAGTTGTATCAGCGTTAGGACGCGTAAAGAGAAGCCTTGAGCAGCACATATCAATGTTGACATCATTTATGTAATATCTAGAGTAGATATGTGTTTGTTTACTCTGGTCTATTTAATGTAGTTATTTCCTCAATCGTGGCAGTCGATTTCAGACGGCTGCCCGGTGGTATTGGTATCGGTTTTGTTATTCATTGTAATTGTGCACATTTACTAATGAATAAACTCACACTTTGTTTGGAATTACAGCTCCGAGTTGTTTACATTATTTTACTCTCGTTATGTGCAGAATTTCCACAACAGTTATATTATCATTTTAATGAATATTTAATGCATTGTCTTTAAACTAACTGTGTTGTCAACGTTTATTGTAATTAAGGTGACTGCAAAGGTGAATGCATATTAACAGGTCAATGGGTACTTGCTAACCGTGGTCTTTCATGTTTGCATTGTTAATGGATGTCTATTTGTCACCAAGTTTGGGTTGTGAAGTGACTTTGCTAAAGTGCAATTTTTGGGCTGTCAGCAGGAGATAAGACTGGAAACCTTTTTGAGCTAAAATAATTGAACTGTGTCAACAAACTAATGGTTTACGCCATATGGAATCTTTGGAGTGAAAATAATGTGACCATGATGTACAGTAGGTGTGATTTTTTTGTCTAAATAAATAAGCCTGTAATACAATGGAGTTCAGTGCACGCACGGTCACAGCATCCAATATCAGATGTGCCATGACCATGCAGGCACTTCTTGCGTTGCAAGTAAAAAATGTATCCTTGTCTGTTGTGTGTTGTCTTTGTCCAGATACTGTAGTTTAATCTTTAACACACTGCTATACAGGAACATGTTTGACGTGAGGTGTCATGTCTCTGCTCTGTGCCATCAATACTGACCTTCCTTCCGGAACTGCTCAGTAAGGGCTGTTCTCCATCCACCCAAAAGGGGTGTTGCAATATCATGTGGGCACGGTGGGTTAGGTGGCATCACTGTTGGCTGTGTTCCTGATGTATGACTTTTTTAAAATTTATTTTTATTTAACCTTTATTTAACTAGGCAAAAATCCCATTGAGGGGAGTCCTGGCAAGGAGGCAGCAAAGTTACACATAAACACAACAGACAGATAAAATTACATTAAAAAGGACAGGCACACACATCAAGTAAAACAATTACAGGATTGAGGCCGTCTCAAACGCTCTGCCAGCTTCCAGTCTTGCTGGAGCATGTTCCAAGTAGAAGGAGCTGCATGAACAAAGGCTCTTTTTCCCCAACTCTGTGCAGAGAAAAGGCACGGTAAGCAATAGCTGCTCATTGGACCTCAGTGCATAAGACTGTACTCCTCTGTGTGAGTAATGTACGGAGGTAAGAGGGCAGGAGTCCCAAAAGAGCCATGCAAATAAAAGTGTACCAATGACACTGCCTCCTGGTGGACAGGGAGAGCCATCCCACCCAAGCGTACAGCTCACAGTGATGTGTCAGAGCTCTACTGTTTGTGATGAATGTTAGAGTCCAGATTTTGAAGACACAAAGAGGTAGCATTCATATAAAAAAGGTCACCATAACCTAAGACAGATAAAAAAGTGGCAGACACTTTTTTATTTCCTCACAAGTGCATCGATAAAAGGTTTAAAAGTGAGGGCGTCATCAATTAAAACTCCCCTCAAGTGTGCACACCACCGGGGGAGTTTGAGGTAGCTTCTTATGTTTTGAGAACAGCATTAGCTTCGTCTTATCAGCATTGAGAAGTAATTTTAGATTGAAAAAAAGATTTCTGTACAGAAGCAAAAGCTTTCTGCAGAGAATTAACAGCCTGTTCAAGTGATGATCCAAAGCAATAGATAATTGTATAATCACAAATGCATGTTCGCATCAAGGACCTTTTGTTCAATATTGTCGATATACATGATGAATAAAAGGTGGCCCTAAAACAAACCCTGTTGCACCCGCCGGTTACACCGGCCTTGTTGTCCTGTGGTGCCGGCTTGGGACCTCTCCGTTGTCCACAATTACTCATGTTCCCTGCCATGTGAACCCTTGATCTCAAGTGGCTGTCAACGAAGATCGCCTTTCTTTCTGGTAATGGCATCTGGACGGCGGGTGAGAGAACCTCCTGCTCTGTTGGTTGACAAAGCCTGTTGTCGTTGGCATCCTGACGACTCAGGTGTGTATCTGTGGCCAGACGTGTCCTTTGTTCCAAAATGTCTTCTGGTTGACAGGACGGGCCCCTACAATTGGCCTGTTTTGGTTCTGGAGATCCCTCTGAACCTCTGTGTCCGGTACATGCCCTAGAAGTGTACATTCGTTCCACGGCTTCGATGAGGCATTCGGAAGCCCCGTTTGTCTGCTGTGCCGGCACTCTGAGAGGTTGTGCTCTGTCCAAGCAGTTTTGCCCACTGAGGTGTGTAGCCAAGGCTAATAACTTTGGGGGGGGACACCGGTACCGCCTGTGCAATTCTACGGGGGACATTTCCACTTCGTGGGCTGCTGTATATGGTGTGTCGTTAGACATCAGTGAGGTGAGGTTCTGGTTGGTTTCCTTGATACCTTGCTTATATTCATCATTCAGTGCTTAAGCACCCACCTCTGGCGGTCAGGAAAGATGAAATAGAACAAAAGTTACGACTAAACTACGGTTCTATGAATCCTGGATGGCTGCCAGGGCGTCAGGTCCCTCGGAATCGTTGTTGCAAGAAAGGTTCTAGGGACTGTGCTTACGGAGTCACGTGGCTTTATAGACTCTTGTTTTCTGACTTTCAACTTGGGCGGCACGTGGCTGAGTGGATAGCACTCTCGCCTCTCAGCAAGAAGGTCCTGGGTCCGAATCCCGGTCGGACCAGGGCCTTTCTGAGTGGAGCTTGCATGTTCTCCACATGTCTGCGTAGTGTCTTTCCTCGGGTACTCCGGTTTCCCCTACCACTAAAAAAATGTACAATAGGTCTGGCATGCGCCTCCTGTTTGGCGACCCCGCTCCCATCTCTGTGGAGTGAGAGGACAAGTGCCCAACATTAACAATTGTAAACTGCTTTGTGACTCTGGTCTATGAAAGGCGGTATATAAATAAAGATTACTTACTTACTTAACCTACGCATGCACAAGGATGATCATCCAGTGCTTAAGCACCGTCTCTGCCGGTCATCCAGGATTCATATAACTGTAGTTACAGTTGTAACTTTTGATGTGCCAGAATTACTCAAATAAAATTATTTCTCAAATTTCGACACAGTGATTTGAGTGTCACTGTGTCACTGCCAGGTGGTAATTCCAGGCCATCACATTTCTTCATAAGGAGTTAAAATATCTCATATTTCTCACTTTAGAAAAAAAAAAAAAACCTGCCGTTACCTGCTTCTTCATCTTCATCCTCGTCATCGTCCAGGTCGTCATCCTCAGAGCTGGAGGAAGACTCTGCTGGCTCCGAGGGGCCGCTGGTCCCCTTGTATACTGCATACTGAGGCTGAGGAGCTGTAGAAGTGAGAGCAGAGGGTAACAATACATGTGGTGTTTTTAATGGGCCTGTGAGACTGACTCCGCACCTTCCTATTCACATTTTTAAAAAGCTGACCTCTCTGGGAAAGGGGCATCTGTGCCCTGCGGCGGACGTAGATGATGTGACGTTTGACTGTAGACTGCAACAATGTGTTTCACAACCAACTATAAATCAGTAACTCTGCAAAATACACAGTGCTAACATAATGTTACTGCTGTATAGCATAGTAAGTAGCTATAGTTAGGCCCCGCCCCAATTCTCACCCTTGCCCTTAAAAAACACACTTGCCCTAGAGTTTGCGCATGCCCGCGGGAGTGGAAGGGTGTCCCAATACTTAGGGACAAGACGCGAGGGCCTTCACACCCCTAGAAACCACACTTGAGCGCAAGTGAGGTCCGGAGCTCACTTGCGAGCGAGGGTGATCCCATGATGCATTACAAAAGCTGTTGGTAAAGCAGGTGCCGGGCAAAGCCGCGCCAAAATGAAAGAAAACAACATGAAACACCAGCGCGGTGTCCTGGTGCAGTGGTAACAACCTGGAGCTGAACGCCCAGAAGACAGTGGAGATGATTGTAGACTTCAGGAAGAGCACTGTCCCCCCGCCCCCACCCTCCGTGATGGACTCCCCCATCACCTCTGTGGAGTCCTTCCGTTTCCTGGGCACCACCATCACCCAGGACCTCAAGTGGGAGCCGACCATCAGCTCTAGAGCTGAAACGATTAATCTAATTACTCGAATAATTCGAATATTAAAAATATTATTTTAATTTCCGCTGCCTCGATTATTCGTATACAGTAGTTTATTTGCGGCATTTTGCCTTGTTTGCTCCATAGACTTTTCTCACGTTTCGCACAGATTCTTTTCGTGTTGCGCAATATGTTTATGTCATGTGTCCTGCGCTACACAGAACACCGGTCATGCATCGCTAGTGTTTGTAAAACTTTTTCACGGACAATGTATTGGTCTATTATAATATCAATGAAGGACAACGGAGAAGGCAATGGCAAAGACAGGAGAGTTAATAAGAAGCCTCTAAAGTGTTGGAGCACTTATTTTTGAACACTGAACAGGAGTAGTTAGCACACATTGCTAAGTGGAGCTAGCCTCTCATAATAACACCAGTTTGATGCTGCCGCAGCTGAGAGGGGCATCAAGGGAAGACCTGAGACGAGGCAAGTCAACTTTCATGTTATGGTGTAAGGCACGCGTTGAGAAAGTAAAATGTTGATGATAACACGGAGAGGTTTTCCCGTGAACAGTCTCACGCTGCCAAAGCGGCATGGTTGAAAACTATCAATGTAGCCGCTTGTAGCCTACATTAAGCTTTTCATTTGTTAACGCAGTGATGAAGCGGGTTTATCAGTACCTACATAAAACATGTATTATGTTTTACTTAATTTGACATTCACTAGAATCCTAGTGCCAACGGGTATTATACTACTGCACAAGTTATCTGAACTCTGTATATAATTAATATGCCTGTATGAACAATATATAATTAATATATACAGTCTATGGTATGAACACCGGACCAAGATCCATCAGCAGTTACAGAACTGTAGGAATGAGGAGCACACAGCACAAGAGATGTGAACAATAACAATATACTCAAATTAAAAAAAAGCTCTTACTTCTAATATTAAAACAAGTATATAATACTGTAGTGTAGTATTGTACAGTGCAGAAATATATACATGTAAGACACATGTAACACATGTGGTTCTATATTACATATTATAATTATTGCAGAGATGCACGACATGTGAGGTCAGCAGTGTAAAGTAGGACATATTGAATCTGGAAGAGGTGTGTGATTGACAATTAAGGTCTGCTTTTCCTAACCTGGCAAGAGCCAGATTGATGATTGTGTAGAACTCTAACGCGTTCTCCACGATATCAATCTGGGACTTCTGCAGGAGAATCCTTTCGGGGAAAGGAGGGCTAAGCAGCAGAATACTTCAAGCTGATTGGGCGAAGTGACGCTGTGTGCCCGCCTACAGAGATTTGACTTAAACCAATCCCGGTAACATGTTTGCCGTCCAGAAATGCACAAAGCGCCTCTCGCTGTTCATCTTTCAAAAAAGAAATTGGAGATTCTGCTAAAACTGACTTGATAGCCTCAGCTACGCGTCCGTCCTCCTGCGTAGCCATGTTTGTTTTGCTTCGGCCCGGCACTTCTTGCTTTCGTCAAACCCGGATATCCCGCCCTAAACCCCCAGACTGGCGCGTGATTGGCTCGCACACCCAGTGGTTGGACTCGAAAAGTGTAAGCGGGACAAGATGTATTCTCGAGTGTTTGTGAACTCACAAATACCGCGAGAATTCAGCTTGCAGGCAAGGTTATGCTTTTCCCTGTCTTTCAGTGAACCATCAGAGCCCGTTTAGGACCAGTTCCTGCTCCCAGCACCAGCACCAGCACCAGCAGCTGTTCTGACGGATAATATTTGAAATATGCTGGTCAGAGACATGCCTCATCTGATTTTGTTCAATCTGGAAGGACTCAAATCAACCGTGGTACAGGTGCAATCGCCGATGCCTTGTCTTCATTTGATAATATGAATTCAATAAACTGTATACAATTTAAAACGGTTTGATATAGTATTTTGTTTCTCTCGATTAATCGATCAGTGTATTCGATAGAATAATCGATTACCAAAATATTCGATAGCTGCAGCTCTAATCAGCTCCCATATCTAGAAGGCCCAGCAGAGGATGTACTTCCTGCCGCAGCTCAGGAAAGCCAAGCTGCCTGCACAGATGTTGGTGCAGTTCTACGCCATCATCGAGTCCATCCTCACCTCCTCCATCACCGTGTGGTTCGCTGGAGCCACTGTCAGGGACAAACAGAGACTACAGCGCATTGTGCGCTCTGCAGAGGAAGTGATTGGCCGCAGCCTTCCATCGCTGCAGGACCTATAAGTCGCCCGAGCTCGAGGCCGGGCTGGTCGTATCACAGCCGACCCCTCTCACCCTGCACATGGATTATTCCAACCACTCCCCTCAGGCAGGAGGCTGCGGTTCATCAGGACTAGAACCTCCCGCCACAAGAACAGTTTCTTCCCCTCTGTTGTTGGACTCTTGAACACTTCTTAACCTGTCCCCCCGCCCTTTATAAAGTCACTTTACTGCCCATCATACGTCACTTTACTTCACTGCACTGCTGTCACCTTACAGTGGGCCTCATGTATGAAACTTGCGTACGGCCAAATCAGGGTGTAAACGATGAGTACGCAAAAAATTTACACTTTTCCGAATTTATTAATCTGGACGTGAGCGTACGGTACGCACAGAATTTACAGTCAATACGTGGTGTAAATGTGTACGCTCATTTCACCCTTCGTCACAACACGCCAAAACACGCATGAAATTTAAGATTTGGACAACAATAAACATGTTCCCACTCTGGCAACATTATAAGCTGCGTTTTCATGGAGCATCATGTTTCAGAATTTGAATTTGCGCATCAGAAAAAGTCTAACACTCTGGAAACACGCAAACTTCGAATAAATCACAGATCATGGTGAGGAGCCTCTTCTGTTTCAATGATTTTAAATCTGACTTCTGTGTGTATTATTTTGATCTGTATGTTTTTAAAATGTGAAGGGCTTTGTGATCCTTGACAGTGAAAGGCTCTATACAAATACACTTTACGCGACAGGGATGTGTGACCCAGCTATTGCTGTGGCAGGCTCTGCGCTGCGTAATTACACACGGCTATTTGTATTCCTCATTCACATCTGGTAAAGCAATGTATGTTTTCATTAGATATGTGTAAGCCTCACACAGGACACACATCCCATTAACGCATGGACCGATGGACTATGGTATTGCTCACTCCAAATGTCTCACTGCCCTGTCCACCCGCTGCGCACTCTTGGGAGTGCATCCACAACAGGTGCCATGAGAGACACGCCACATAACTCCACAAATGCTGTCATTCAGAAGTTTTGGCTCCAGAGTTTCTCTGTACAATCTGGACCGCAAACGCTCTCGCAAGTGTACAGCGCTTCAGTGCATTCACAAGACGCTGCATTCATTCATTATTTATTCACTTCTATCGAAACATTTCTGCAAATTTGTTCAAAACGCAGCTGAATAAATAGCGTAGCGTATATAGCGTATATTTATTTTTACATATGCATGAACAACCTGTGGCAGACCCTGCGCCATACACGTAATTACGCCTATGTTTTGCCTCATTCACCTCTGGCAAAGCAATGTGGGTTTTCCTTAGTTTTGTGCATAAAGCCCCATAAATGCACCTGATCTTGCTCAAAACTGTCTCGGGCACTGCCCTTTACTCCGCAGAGCAAAGATAGGATGCGACGTGCACCAGCAGTATAGTTCATTCATTCATTCAGGTCATTTATTATTTATTTATCAAAATTTCAGGGGAGATGAGTGCTGCAGTGGGTCTAGACACTAGGGGAAAAAAGTGTATACATAATATAGCGTATATATATATATATATATTTTTAAACGTGAATAAACTCAAAAGTGCGCGCTTTTTGCGGCTTCTTAGCCGACTTCCTGCTGACCTGTCGCAAAAACAGGGCGTGGAACAGGCAGTTTCTGAGTATTTATAGGCGTGACTTTCATAAATACGCTGGTTTTGAGCGCGGCATTTATCAACAGCCACAGGTGCGTAAGCTCAGATCTGTGCGTATCTCACACGTTCATAAATGCCACGTCAGATCTTGCGTATCTGGGATCTACACCCAAAATGTACACCTTTTTCTGCGCAATTTTCATACATGAGGAACATTGTGTGCACCATGTGCACTTGTATATTGTAAATAGAAACTGTAACTATATTTTAAATTTAAATTAATTCCTTACAGGGAATTTACACAGCGCGTAACATTTTTTTGGAGTATCTACACAGGCCGTGCGCGCAGGTCCGCGTCTTCTGATGCTGTCCCTGTGTAGTCTATGGAGCAGTGTAGAGGACAGTACGGGCCAGAGGACTGATGT